TGGGTCTGAGGGAGGAGGGCCGGGGGCCTGGGGGCCTGGCCTCCCGGGTCTGAGGCAGGAGGGCGGGGAGCCCAGGATCCCGGGTCCGTGGGAGGAGGGGCTGGGGCCTGGACTCCCGGTTCTGACGAGGAGGGCTGGGGGCCCGGGATCCCGGGTCCCGGGGAGGAGGATTTGGGGGCCTGGACTCCAGGGTCTGAGGAAGGAGGGGCTGGGTCCTGGAGTCCTGGGTCTGAGGGAGGAGGAGTTGGGGGCCTGGACTCCCGGGTCTGAGGCAGGAGGGCTGGGAGCCCAGGATCCCGGGTCCGTGGGAGGAGGGGCTAGGGCCTGAACTCCTGGGTCTGACGGGCCGGAGGGCTGAGGCCTGGACTTCAGGGTCTGAGGGAGGAGGGGCTGAGATCTGGACCCCTGAGTTTTAGGGAGGAGGGATTGGGGTCCAGGACTCCTGGTTCTGAAGGAGTAGGACCTGGGGTCCTCCTCCGGGGTCTGAGGGAGGAGGACCGGGAGCCCAGGATCCCAGGTTCGTGGGAGGAGGGACTGGGACCTGGACTCCCGCATCTGAGAGAGGAGGCCTGGGGGCCCGAGATCCCGGGACCCAGGGAGGAGGGGTTGGAGCTGGACTTCTGGGTCTGAGGGAGGAGGGGCTGGAGCCTGGACTCCTGGGTCTGAGGGAGGAGGAGTTGAGGGACTGGACTTCTGGGTCTGAGGGAGGAGGAGTTGAGGGACTGGACTCCTGGGTCTGAGGGAAGGAGGGGCTGGGGGAATGGGCTCCCGGGGTCTGAGGGAGAAGGGGCTGGGGCCCAGACTCTCCGGTCTGAGTTGATGAGTTCCTGGTTCTGGAGGAACAGGAAACTGGGAACCCTGATTCCTTCTCTGAGGGGAAAAGGAACTGGTGTCCCGGTGTTAAAAGTTCTTCTGTCCTCGCCTCTCAGTATGGGGGGACCCAGTACAGCCTCGTGGTGTTCAACACGGTGGACTGCGCTCCTGAGTCCTACGTACAGTGTCACGCTCCCACCAGCAGCGCCTACGAGTTTGTCACCTGGCTTGATGGCATTAAGTGAGCAGTCCCCCTACTTGGGGTGGGTTGGGGGAGCCTTTGAGGGACCGTGGGTTTGTGATGGCTGGGTTTTGAGCTGCAGGGGCCATTCCCTGGCACTCAAGGTGGCTTCTGTGTGCTCAGTAGTGTTGTCTTCCAGTTTAGAAAGGGGAAAAGTTCCTGCTCAGGGAGGCCTGGTTGCGCTAACAGCCACCTTGCACTCCCTGTGTGTCTTTCTTCTTCCTGTTCCTCCCCTGCCTGCTCCTGCCCTCCCTTTTCAGATGGGTACACTGAGGCCTGGATACAGGGGGGTGTGGCTAGTCCAGGACAGACCCCCCACCTCTGTTACTTGGATTTTGAAAGTTCCCATTGCAGATTCTGAATTCCTGCCACCTGGGTTCAAATCCCAGCTATTCCACAACAGAACTCCCACCCCAGAGTCCCTAACTCTCTGTGCCTAGTATAGCTCATCTATGATGTAGGAACGTTAATAGGCTTTGTATTAGATTCTTTTTTTTTTATTTTTTATTTTGAGTTGGAGTCTCACTCTGTTGCCCAGACTGGAGTGCAGTGGCCACTCCCGGCCACTGCAGCCTCGACCTGCTGGGCTCCGGCAATCCTTCTGCCTCA